ACTTTTTTCCATTTTTGTTTAGTTAGAGTGAGAGTGAGAGAGGGAGAGAGAGAGAGAGAGAGAGAGAGAGAGAGAGAGAGAGAAATATTGATGTGAAAGGGACACATCGAGTGGCTGCCTCCTGTACGACCCCAACCAGGGCGGGTAACGAACTGCAACCAAGTTACATGCCCTTAGCAGGAACCGAACCTGAGTCTCTCTGAAGCGTGGGCTGATGCTTTCACTGCTGAGCCAAACCGGCCAGGGCCGGAATAATCCTTCTTTTAAACACACACACACACACACACACACACACACACACACACACACCTTTCTATTATAGAATATTTTAAACATATATACAAGTCAAGAGAAGAGAATAATGAAACCCAAGTACCCATCACCAGCTTTAATAATTATTAATATCTGGCCAATCTTGTTTCCTTTACACCCCACCCACTTCTTCTCTCCTACATTATTATTTTCTTTTTTTAAATTTGAGGTAAATGTCACATAACATAAAAGTAACCATTTAAAAGTGTAACATTCAATGGCATTTAGTACAGTCACCCTGTTGTACAACCACCACCTTTCTAATTTCAAAACATTTCCTTCTCTCCAAAGTAAAACCGTACACACATGAAAGTCACTCCTTCCCCCGCCTCTGGCAACCACAAATCTGCTTTCTGTCTCTATGGGTTTAGTTTTCTGGATATTTCATACAATATGTGACCTTTTGTGTCTGACTTCTTTCACTGAGCATAATGTTTTCAAGTTTCATCCATGTTTTAGCATATATCATTGCTTCATCCCTCTTTATTTCTTTTTTATGAATAATAGTTCATTTTGCATGTATATCACTATTTGTTTATCTGTTCCTCCCTTGATGGACATTTGGATTGTTTCCACCTTTTGGCTGTTCTGAATAATCCTGCTATGAACAGTCTTGCAGAAGTATCAGTTTGAGTGCCTGCTCTCAAGTCTTTGGGGATATATTCCTAGAAGTAGAATTTCTGGGTGTTTTAAAGGTATCCAGAATTTGTTTTAATTCGGTATGGTAAGACATGTAGACATGGAAATCACTGTTATGAAGGAAGAAGCTTATACTCATAGAACCCTAGAACCCTAGCACAGCATGTCACACCGGGCCACATGCGGAAGCACCAGAATTGGCCGGGAGGCAGAGGGAGCTGGGGAAAATGTGGGCAAGAGCCTTTTTTATGCTTTCTGTGAAAAGGGACAGGCAAGGCAGTGTAAGCAGGATTAGAATTGGCTAGGCTGAATAATTTTGGAAGGCTCTGAGTTATAGGGTCTGGCTCTAGTTGGGTGGAACGTGGGATGATTAGGGCAGGGGTATAGTGGCCTGGAGTGGGGAGCCCATACAGGAGGTGGTTGGGGGTTGGGCTCTGAATTGGCTGGATTGCAGGTGAAAGGCCCACTCACAGGCCAGAGAGTTGTTGTCTTTAGGAATTAGCTAACCCTGGGAGGGGCAGTCTCTAGAGTGTCAGCAAGGCCCCAGATGTTGAAGCATCAAAATACAAAACATAAAAAGACATGCTGAACACAGTGGACCATATGGTACTTCTATGTCTAACGTTTTGAGGAACTACCAAACTTTTCTATAGCAGCTGCACCATTTGCCCTTTCGATGCTCCTTTCAGTGATGTTCTTGGCCCCCAGACTTCGTGGGTCAGCAGAATCTGATCCTTCCTTCTCTTTCAAGCAGGGGCCATTTTTACAAGGGGAAGAATGGAACCTAGTCACAGGCAAGACAGGAAAACTGGGTGGTTAGGGCTTCCTGTCCCTTTCTGCCCTGGGATTTCTTGCCTTCTTAGAGCTTGACCTCCTCAGCTGTGGTCCATCAGAAGGACCCTTGTCTGTATACTAAGAGGCCCCCCTCCTCCTGCACCCACCTGCTCTCAGTGAGCCTCAGGTTAGTAAGTATTTTCCAACCTCCTGCTCAACACCACTTTTCCCCCTCCTTTAATCTCCCAGAACTTAAGGACCAAGAGCCCCTCTGTGTTTTTATCCTGGGCCCCCACCCAGTGGTATGCCAAAACTCACTCACACTGACCTGGGGGAACATCTCTCCTCATATCCATTTTCAGTGACGTTAGATTGAAAGCTTGAAATCAGCCTTGTTAGGAGTATTTACAACACAGGAATTAGCAAACCCTACAAATCAAAGCTTTCCCTGCAGAGCCACTTGTTAAACATTTACCAGCACATCACTGGCCCCATCTTTTTCTTTTTTTAAAATTCCTCACTTGAGGATATTTTTCTATTTATCACTAGACAGAGTGGGAGGGAGGGTGAGAGAGAGAGAGAGAGAGAGAGAAACATTGATGTGATAGAGCCACATCGACTGGCTGCCTCCAGCACAACCCTACCAGGGCTGGGGACTAACCACAACCGAGGTATGTGCCCTTGATCAGAATCGAACCCCATGACTCATTGGTCCTTGGGCTGAAGCTCTAACTGCTGAACCGAACCGGACTGGCCCCATCTTATCTGTCAAACAAGACCTGCCAAGGTGTTTGCTGGTAACTGGTAGTCAGTATCTATTGCTTTCATGTGGAGTTCCTAAGTCCTGCCCCATAGCAGGTCAGCCTGACCCAGGGGGCAGAGCCAGCCAGGTGGTGGCAGATGTAAGTCATGCCAGCATGCCCTGAATTGGCAAGGACAAGGGGATATGGGCAGAGCATGGGTAGTTTCTCCTATAGACGTACACACACACACACACACACACACACACACACACACACACACTCACTCCTGGTTTAGTTTAATATTTGTGGGTTTATTTCAATGTGCAATGGAAAAATACAGCCAGTACACTAAAGCTGTGATTTTATGGATATTTTTGGATGAACTCAGTTTATTAAAAAACCATTAAGTGGATAATAAATTGGGTGGTGAGCAGAAATTATAGAGATGATACGAGAATAAAGTTTGGTTGTTGGTGATGGGATACTAGTGAAGACTTTTAGGCAGGGGAGTGACCAGGACTAATTTGCACTGTAGGAAGAACTTTCTTGTATTTGTGTGCAGAAAGATTGGAAGGAGGCAAGTTGGGAGGCAGTGAAATGGGGTTGAGAGGGAACAAACAGATCCAGGTGATGTGAATTAGACAGAATCAATAAAAGTAGAGATGTTATTAGATATGGGGAGGGGGACAATGGTGCCTTTTTTGAACAGTAAGGAATAATACACTAGTTGCATTTAAGGTGCTCAACCCCCCAACCTCACCTCATCTCATCATTTTCTGGAACCCAGCCACATTCTGCTGCTCATCAGGCTCCCCGCTGCGGATGTTCTTCCCGATGGCCTGGAATGCTCTGCTTGTTCTTCTCTGATGCTTCCCTGATCTCCAACACAGAGCCACTTCTTCCTTTGCTCTCCAGAGCCCTTTGCACCTGCCAGGTGCCTGGCACCAGCAATGACTCCTCCTTGTTAACATTTATTTCAGGCCAGGCACTGTGCCAGGAACTCCATGTACAGTGGTTCACTTTTTCCATATAACAGCACTGGGAAGCAGAGGATTTCATCCCCACTTCACAGATGACAAAACTGAGGCTGATACAGTCAGGATCTGAACCCAGGCCTAATTGCCTCTAAAGCCCATGATCTTAATCACTCTGATCCCTATGCCTTATTGTAGTATATTGTAATATTTGTTTATCTGTTTGTCTTTCTAGTGGACTCTGAGCCCTTATGACCTTGAGTCTGAAATGGGTCCTTCCCTGGATCCCAGAATCTCAGGGCTGGATAGGACTTTCTCATTAAAAGTTTGAATTTCCTACTTGGAGCTCTGCCAAGAGGTACTTGCATGACCCCTCTTGTGGGGATCTCACTGTCATCCAAGGTGGTCAGATCTATTTCTGGATGGCTTCATCCACCACAAATGTCTTCTTCCTTTGAGCTTTATCTCTCCCCCCCCACTTTATTGATTTTAAAGAGAGAGGAAGGGAGAGGGATAGAGAGATAGAAACATCGATTGGCCACATCCTGCATGCCTCCCACTGGGCATATGTCCTGACTGGGAATCGAACCGGTGACCTCTTGGTGCATGCTCAACCACTGAGCCACACCAAGCGGACTGAGTTTTACCTCTTGACCTCTGTTTCTGTTCCTGTTGGGCCTCCCTGGCTCTCTTCAGGACCCCACTCCTTCCAGGACCAGGCTTAGGGGATGTGGTGAAGTTCATCTTGACAATAGACTGATTGTGCTCTCCCAATGAAAACAGCCCCCACATGCCCTGGCCTGTTTGGCTCAGCGGTTGGAGCATCGGCCTGCGAACCAGAGAGTCCCGGGTTCGGTTCCTGCTAAAGGCACGTACCAAAAAAAGAAAAAGAAAGAAAACAGGCCCCACTCCTGCATCTGCACCTGTCAAGGTCTGCCAATTGCCATGAAGCCAACTTTTCAAAAATCTTTATGAACCATGGGCTCCTAAATTTCCAAGCCAAACAAAGATGAGATGTGGGAGGCTCCGTTCTCTGCCTGGAAGGCCCCTCCCACTCTCCCTGCCACCCCAGATCTGATAAGTGAGGGGAAACATTTCTACACTTGGTGTTCAGGCTGTCACTTTTAATCTCCAGGTAAGTGACTTCCAGGACCATCTCTTGTCCCTAGCCCCCTGGGACTGTGTGTTTGATAGCAAAGAGGGAGAGTACCATGGGAGCAGAGACACCTTCAGCCTGCTCTCCTGAATCCTCTGAGCTCCCTCCTCCAGTGCCCATCCATCTTTATGGTGCCCTCCTGACATCTCCCCTGCTTTAAACCCCAGATAACTCTGTCTTCAGCCTCCTTTAGTTAGGAGACTGGGGCAGGTATCCAGGAGGGAGTTGATGGAGCCTGACAAAGGTGGTGGCGGTGAGGGTCAACAGGAAGGGATGGATTTGAGAACTATTGAGGAAAGCCCTAAATATGCTTGACACCACCCAACAGAGTAGGCTTGCCTGGTGTCATGGCAAGGGCACAAGTTCTTTACCAGGAAGATGTGGGATCAGCTTTGCGGCATCATGGCTTTGAGGTCTTGAGCAAGTCATTTAATCTCCCTGAGCCCAGTTTCCTCACCTGTGAAATGAGGATAGTAAGAGGATCAGATAAAAGTTCCGAGGGGCCAAGTGGGGCTTTAAGGGAATAGCTGGAGGTCTGGTCTGGTGGTGATTAATCAACTCATAAATTAGTTGGGCCTGGCCCTGGCCAGTTTGGCTCAGCGGTTAGAGCGTCGGCCTGTGGTCCGGAGAGACCCGGGTTCGGTTCCCACTAAGGGCACGTACTTCGGTTGCAGTTTGTCCCCAGCCCTGGTTGGTCGTGCGGGTGGCAGCCACTCGATGTGTCCCTTCACATCGATGTTTCTCACTCTCTCTCCTTTCCTCTCTCTCCCTCCCATTCTATCTGTACAAAAAATAGAAAAATATCCTCGGGTGAGGATAAAAAAAAACAACAAAAAAAACCAAAACGTGGGCCTGGACCCTGTCCGGTTTGGCTCAGCAGTAGAGCGTTGGCCTGTGGACCAGGGAGTCCTGGGTTTGGTTCACGCTAAGGGCATGTACCTTGGTTGCAGTTTGTTCTTGCCCCTGTTGGGGTTGTGAGGGTGGCAACCACTCGATGTGTTTCTATCACATTGGTGTTTCTCTCTCTCTTCCTCTCTCCCTCCCGCTCTATCTGAAGATAAATGCAAAAATGTCCTTGGGTGAGGATAAAAAAAAAAATAGGTGAGCCTGGAATGGAGTCTCTCACTGAGGATCAAAACCACCACCATTCTGGGAGGTGTCCCCCCCCCCCCATTTTACAGCAAGTGGGTTGGGTTTCAGAGAAGTTAAACACCTGGCCTAGTGCCACCAAGTGAATAAGTAGGGGCAGGGCTCAAACCCAGGACAGTTTGCCTCTAGGGCTGGGTCCTTCCTATGGTGCTATACTGTCAGGGAGGGACACAATTCAACCCAAAACACACTGATTGATTAATTGATTGATCGATTGATTCTTATTTTATTCAATCCATTGCTACACTATTACTGGTCAAACTATCCCAGATTTGACCACTATCCTGCAAGTTGGCCTCTGTGTCCTTTGGATATATTTTCATGATTCTTTGAGCACTCTCTTACTTTCTGGCATAAAAGACATTCTAGGCTCAGTTGTACTTTCTCAGCCCCAGGACTAAAATAAGCCATTTCTCCAAGAAGATATGTTTTTGCTAAGTATGCTCATTGCTAATGATGTCATTATTTCTAAATGATGATGATGATGGTATATATATATGTGTGTGTGTGTGCATGTGTGTGTGTGTATAAATATAATCTGCTTCCAATCCTAAATTCATTCTCTCCTTCCTCTTTTGCATATTTTCAACCTTCTTTTCCAAGAGCAAAAAACCTGGTTCCTATTGTCCTCATTTGCAAAGGCCTTATGAGCAACCTCTTATTTTAAGCTGTTATCAGTCACTTATGTGTACAGTGAATGCCTTTTATTGTCTTTCTATAGAGTAGTAGGTTTATATAAGAAGGGAAAGATGGTGTAAGGAGGCACTGAGTTCTGAGAATGTTCACCAGGGAAGAAAGAGGGACCCCGAAGCTTCAGCTCTCTAAAGACTCTGCTATGGAATCCACTGAGGGAAGAGAGTGTGCCCAGGGTGGGGAAGGACTGGGGAAAAACCACTTCACTGTGACCACTCAAGTTCCAATCTGATATATCAGGTTGTTAGATGCAAGTTGGGCCATGTGAGAGAGGCAAGAGAGGTCTTTGAGACTGGACAAGATCTTAATAAAACCATTAAGGTCCCACCATTTGAACCAACATTTTGAAAGTGTCCTTATTTTCTTCTCTCTTTCTTAATTTTTTCTTTAACTTTTAATTGCAATAAATTTCATATAATATAGAATTTATCATTTTAACCCCTTTAAAGTATACAGTTGAGTGGTACATTCACAAGGTGTATAACCCTTACTACTATCTAATTCTAGAATATTTCCATCACCCTAAAAAGAAACCTTGTATCTCCCAGCTCCCTACTACCCCCAGGCTCCTAAGAACCACTAATCTACTTTAAGCCCCTATGAATTTGCCTACTGTTAACATTTCTTATAAATGGAACCGTACAGTATCTGGCCTTTCATGTTTGACTTCTTTCACTTAACATAAAATATGTATGGGTACTTCACTCTCTTTTATGACTGAATAAAATTCCATTGTGTAGATATAACACCTTTGTTTATCTATTCATCAGTTGATGGACATTAGGTTGTTTCTACCTTTTAGTCTACTATAAATAATACTAATATCATCATTTGTAAGTTTTGTGTGTTTTCAGTTTTATAGGGTATATACCTAGGAGTGGAATTAATGGGTAATAGTGTAACTCTATGTTTAACTTTTTAAGAATCTGCCAAACTTTTCCACAATTGTTATGCCAACTTACTTTCCCATGAACAATGTATGAGGGGTCCCATTTCCTTGCCAATACTGGTTATTTTCTATTGTTGTTGTTTTTTAATAGTCAACCTAATAGGTATGAAGTAATATCTCATTGTGTTTTTATTTGATTTTCTCTAATGATTAATGATGTAGAGCATATTTTCATGTGCTAATTGGCCATTTGTATATCTTCTTTGGAGAAATATCTAGTCAAATTCTTTGCTTATTTTTAATTGAGTTATTTGTCTTTTTATTGTGGAATTGTAAGAGTTTTTAAAATATATATATTCTGGAGACTAGACCCTTATCAGATGATTTCCAAATATTTTCTTCGGTTATGTGGGTTGGCTTTTCACTTTCTTGGTAGTGTTCTTTGATTCACAAAAGATTTTAATTTTAATGAAGTGCAACAACTTCCTCTTTGTAGAACTTAGACCTCTAGGACTTCCAAGTACCTGGAGGGGTAGAGAGGAAGCTATGTTAGTGCATGTTTCTTCCTAGCTTCCCCTATAAAGGACAGAGGGAGGTTGGGGTGTTCTGCGAGGAACCAGGCCCATTGTTGCCAGCCCTTCTCCTTCTGCACCCCAGCTTTGAGCCTTCAGCTTCCTCCTCTGCTTTCCAGGACATAGCAGGCCCCATGACCATTGTAGCTGGCCTCTTGCTCCTGGCCCTGTGTGCCCACTACATTGCCCCTGCAAGTAAGATTTCCAGCCCCAACCTGGGTCTCTTGGGCAGCTGTCTTGAAGGCATGGCTGGGATGGCACAGTGGAGGGTGGAGGTACAGCCCGCCCGGAGCTGGAGGGGAATGCTGCAGCCCATTGACGGGGATGGAGGTATTTAGTGCAGGAATGGGTTCTGTATCCGAAGCCCAGAGCCTAGGGCAGGCTGAGAAAGGTCATGACTCTTGTCTCTTCCCGTTTTTCAGGCTTTGTGGCCATCTTCTCTTTCTGCTGCATGTCCTTAATTTCCAAGGAAATTCCTGACAGCAGAGTGGTAAGCTACCAGCTGTCCAACAGGAGTGTCTGCCCCAAAGCAGGAGTGATATAAGTAACTAGTACTTCTCACTGAGCACCTGACTGGAGGGGGCAGGTAGATGAGCCTCCAGGGTCACTGAGGAATAAAGTTAGGAGGACCTGGCTCTGTGATTCTGGGGAAGTCACCCAACCTCTCTGAGCCTCAGCTTCCTCATCCATAAAAGTAGGAAGAGGATTCAGCGCCAGCAATCATTTATTGAGCAACAAATGTATACCATTCAGTGCATACAGGGTGGGACAAAAGTAGGTTTACAGTTGTTGATATGGAAAATAACACAATAAGATATAAGAATATAAGAATAAACTGTGTTTCTCATACTCACAACTATACACCTACTTTTGCCCCACCTTATATAATATTATCTTAACTAATCCTCTCGAGCATCCCATGAGCCAGATTGAATGATCTGCATTTTACAATGGACAACTGAGGCTCAGAATAGTGACCTGCTCAAGGTCATCTAGGACTCCAAAAAATTTGGAGCTGCATCTCACACAGGCAGGAAGTGTGAGCTCACTGTATAAATAGTGGCATGCCATAGAAATGTGATGTTCATATTATTAGGAATTTTCCCCACTGGCACTAGGCCCAGATCCATAGCCTGACACCCCCAGTTCAGAGTTGGCCTGGAAGAAGCCATCCTGCTGCCCCTCGCAGCCCTGCCATCCTTATCAGCCATATTTCCTTGCATAGTGTGTGAACTGGAGGCATCTGCCTTTTTTCTTGAGGGTTTTCAGTACATTTTTTTATTCCTCCCTGTGGGTAGAAGTCCAGTATTACCTAAAGGCAGGACAGGACAGTGACTGAACATGAGCACTGAAACAGAGAGACAGAGACACAGACACACAGAGAGACGACATCATGTTAGTAACTTTCTAGGAGGCTGGGCAGCAGCTTGTCCTCCATGGGCTACTATACCCACCTCTTCCTGCCAGGTCTGAGAGGTACCCTGTCTGAGAAGCAGTGGGTCCAGAGGTACATGAAGAACCTGAACGCTAAGTGGAAGAAGATCTCTACTGAAGCTAGGGCAAAGGGCACCAAAATCCCTCTTCTGAGACACCCTACCAACAGATCCATTTAACTCCTGCCCAGCCCCCTGTCCTCAGGTGGGTCTGAGCCTCGGCTTCTTGCCAGGCTGCTTGGGGTCCAGGGCACCATCTCAGGAGTGGTCTTGGCAGCTCTTGGGAGTCCTGTTATGAACTTTATTTGTTTATTTACTAATCCTCATTCAAGGACACCCCCCCTCCCCCACTGATCTTCAGATAGAATGGGAGGGAGAGAGCGAGAGAAACATTGATGTGAGAGAGACACATTGATTGGTTGCCTCCTGCAGGGAGGGGTCCAGGGCCGGGGACCGGAATTAAACCTGTGACTCTTTGGTCCTTGGGTCGACACTCTAACCACCAAGCCAAATCATCCAGGGCAGGAGTTCTGTTATAAACTTAAAAAGACACACATGCACAGCTGGATTCAATTAAATTTTTTAAAAAGGTCAACACAATACATATTGCACAAGGAGCTGTTATAGGCATCTGGAAGTTATATAATTGTAAAAGATGGTTTCTGGTTTCAAATAATTAGGGGAAAAATAGCATTCACAATCAAGAGCAATGTGGATTTAACACTTTATTTAATGCTTTATAACCTGCATGACCTTGAAATATGTCACTTAACTTCTCTGACCTTCAGTTTCCCTAATCTGTAAAATGGGGATAATGAGAGCTTTCGACTTTGTTTGCATTTTCCCCAGAAGCAGACCCTGAACAAAGATTTGAGTGCGAATATTATGTCTGAGGAAGGTATGGGGAATATTACCAGGAGGATGGGGAGGTGTTACAAGGCAAGGAAAGCAACCAATAAGAGTGCGTTATCAAGCAGAGGGGAATTAGAACTTAGTCCACTGGGAAGTGGTGTAAGACCCACCCCCTCAGAATTACACACACACTCCAGCAGTCACTGCTGGGTGTGGGGAGGGGTGTCTTTCTGCAGGTGGGAGCAGAGCAACCTGCCAAGGTTCAAAACAAGCTTTCAGGTGCAGAGAGTCAGCAGAGCACAGAAAGGCCTGGCAGTAGACATTCAATATACAGCAGCCGTTAAAGTTCTTTTAACTCCAATAGGAAGCAGACTAGAGAGGAGCTAAACAATCCAAAGGAGTCGACATTCTGGTGGGGTGAGGGAGCCTGCAGAAATCCTCAGCAGAGTTGGCATCTGAATGGTGACTGAGGTTTCACTCTGGAAAGAAGAGTGTATTTCTAAGGGTAAAAGAGAGCTGGAGCATTCAGGGAAGAAAGACCAAACCACAGGACCACAGAGAACTCTGACCCACAGCCTCTGAAGCAACCAGCCCAGAACCAGCACAATTTGGTCAGTGACTGCCAGATTCCTATTATTGCCCTTTTTTTTTTCAGCTCAGGACCAACCAGAGAAAGTCAAATACACTCCCAAATCAATCACACCTCCAGCTTCTTTGTGCCAACCACCGCCAATCAAAGCACAAAGCACATCTGCGCCTTCCCTTTTGTCCATTCTGAAGCTCTCCCACCCACCTGCCTGTGAGTCTCTCTGTCAAGTGATAGTGATCTGGCTGAGAGAGGCTGCCAGCAAGAGGCGTGGCAGAGGGAGAAAGATGTTTTGCTGTCGGGACTGCTGAAATCCTATTCTAACTCCAGGTCTCAACCTTAGCAAAGCTATTTGTTCCAAAGAATTCCAGTCTGTTTCTACAGATTGCCCCTGTTTATTTAAAATATTATAATCTAATTTCCCAGAATTATAGGCCTGTCAATTTCTAGGAAACCCCATCAGAACAAACAAAGCTCTGTTTCTTCCTTACGAAGCTGTGGGTCTTTCAATCCAGCGTTCTGAGACACGGGCAGCTTCAGGGGAAATTATTCCATTGTTGACTACACATGGGAAGGGTAGACACACAGGAGAGAGAGGAAACCCCAGGCACCCTCCTCCCACTCCCGCTTCCCTTTCCGTCCTTGTTCCTGCACAATCCAACATTCAGTTTTTCTGCTTCTTCTTTGCCAAGGGTAATTACCACTTTTCGATAAGGTTTTGGCCTCTACATTTCCTGATTGCAGGGAATAATATTTTGTGATAGGCTGCCCCTGGAACTCTCACATTCTCCTCTTGGTTTTCTAACATCTGGGTAATGATAAGCCCCATGGAATGCGCACTTATTGCAGAATGCTGTGGGTGTGGCCTGGTCACAATCTCACCCCGTGATCCTGCCTGAGAATTATGAGGAGAAACTTCTCCGGGGACTCAGAATCTGGAAGCGCTGCACTTCTCCCAGGCAGCTGGTAGTTTGTTTTCTGTTCTGGATGCTGTGAACCATGGGGCTGACTGAATGTCCCTTTTTGTTTTGGCTCATTGAAGGTCTGCAGCCCTTTTCAGTCTGCAAGTACAGCACCTTATTGCTTTCAAAACCTCACTTGATTACAGAGAGGTTTTGGCTACCGGGGACATATGTTTCTTTTCTAGATTCCACTCTGCTTCTATTAGACCTGTTGACCTTAAAAAACAAAAGACCGGTTATTTTACCAGCAAAATGGATTTATTCGGGAATAGAAGAACTGCAATTTAGGATAAGCAAACTGTTGGCAAACTGTTATAGGCAGGAAGAACAAAGGAGGGGGGCTTGCTTTTATGGGGGAAAAAGAGAAAGTTGAGAGGGGCTGTTTCCAAAGAGTGCAGGGTGGTCATTGCCTCTCATTGGCTGAGTGTGCAGTTTCTCTTTGGCTGGGCTGTAACTAGGAGCCCAACCTGAAGGCAACCAGCTCAGGAGGTATCGGTGAAGATTGAAGTGTTTTGCTGAAAAGGAAAAATTCTTCCTTTCTCCTGCTGTGGTCTGTCCTCCTGTTTGGGATCTTGGCTGGCAGTGAATGAGCGCGCCCCTTCAGGGCTTCCTGACTCAATTTTATTTTTTTAAATATATTTTTATTTATTTTTTTTAAATTAATTAATTTATTTATTTTTTCTTTCTTTTTTTTTTTTTTTATCCTCACCCGAGGCTATTTTTCCATTTTTTGTACAGATAGAGTGGGAGGGAGAGAGAGGAAGGGAGAGAGAGAGAGAGAGAAACATCGATGTGAAAGGGACACATCGAGTGGCTGCCACCCGCACGACCAACCAGGGCCGGGGACAAGCTGCAACCGAGGTACGTGCCCTTAGCGGGAACCGAACCCGGGTCTCTCCGGACCGCAGGCTGACGCTCTTACCGCTGAGCCAAACCGGCCAGGGCAATTAATTTATTTTTGTTACAGATGTTTCTCCTTTCCCCCCCCACTGATTTCCCCCTCTCTCTCCCTCCCCGCCCTGTCCCCAGCTTTGTTGTTCATGTCCATTGTTCATGCACACATGCATATAAGTTCTGTGGTTTATCTCTCCCTCACTACCCCCTCTTCTGGGGATTGTCAGTCTGTACCCCACTTCTATGTCTTTGGGACTACCCCATTCCTCAGACTGTTACTTTCATTATATTCCACAAATAAATGAGATCATATGATACTTGATTTTGGGAGAGGGAGAGGGAAACATCAATGTGAGAGATAAACATGGGTCAGCTGCCTCTCACATGAACCCCAACCAGGGATTGAACCTGAAACCTGGGTATGTGCCCTGATCAAGAATTGAACTGGCAACATAAACCAAGACACTGTCTACCTCTTGGGGGAGCTTCCCAGTACTGGGGAAACCCTTCTAACACACCATGCCTCCTTCTGGCAGCTCCTTGGTGTTTTTGTCTCACTGGGGCAGCAGACAAATGTTCATTTCCATTCACTCAACTTCGGTAAGGACTGGGCTGGGTCTAGTTCACCACCTACCTCCAGAACCTTGGACAGTGCCTGGGCATCTGGTAAGAACTCAACACACATCTGTGAAATAAGTGGATTCCAGATACTGTGCCCAGGCTCGTGAAGACAAACAGGAGCCTTCTTACTGATCCTTCACATTCCTCCTCCTTTCAACAGCCAGGGTAGTCTTTATAAATTCCTCCTCTAATCTGTCACTCCCATGCTTAAGCTCATTCATGTCTTCCCATTGCATTTAGAATAAAGAAGAAAATGCTTGACACACACTCTGTATAGGAGGCAGTAGAACAGAGTTGATGTGGATTCTCCGGGAAGCTCCAGAAGCCTTTGCCTCAGGTCCTCTAACTCACGTGGTCCATTCCAAAGTACCGCACCTCCTTTGGTAGCTTTGTGTCTTTTTTAAAAAAGAAGGCTGCCAAACTGAGTAAGCTTTAGCCTCAAAAAACCCAGATCTGCCCCTGAGCCTGGAGATAAAAAGCATGAGCTTTGGAGCCAGACTACCTGCATTCATATCCTGGTCTCACCAATTACCAGGTGTGCCTCAGTTTCCTCATCTGTAAAAAGAGACTAGCAATACATCTGCCATACAGCACTGTGTTAAGGGCTGACATGGGTGAAGCACTATAGAACAATGTAGTCAACCCCAAGCGTTAGCTGCTGCTGAACAGGATCCTGCCTGACCCAGCCCCAGCCTACTCTACCTCCCCATCTCCATTTCACTCTTCACACCTCCCATCCCTTCTCTCTCTGCCCCAACCATGCTGGCTTCCTTTCCATTCTGTGAATATGCCCTGCTGCCTCCTGCCAAAAGGCCTTGCACATGCATTCACTCTCCCTAAAATGCTTTTTCTTTTTTTTGGTACGTGCCCCTAGCAGGAACCAAACCCAGGACTCTCTGGTCCACAGGCCGACGCTCCAACCGCTGAGCCAAACCAGCCAGGGCCTGGAATGCTTTTTCTATCCTATTAGTCTAGTTGTCTTTTTTTTTTCATTCAGGATCTCAGTAGAACCCACATAACAAATGCAAACTTTAATGAGAGAAGTGTGTACAGGGATCTGCAGTAGTGTTTAAGAGCACACAGGGATGGTGAAGCACCCAAAGACTAGCAGCGGCAGAAAAATGCTACCACCTTTAGGCATGAGGGGCATGGGCAAGAATAGTGTTGTGGAGGTTATGGAGCCCAGAGAGCCAGAGAGCACTACAGCTGTGGGAAAAGAATTGCCCCACAGGAGCTGGGCCCATGGAGAAAAACAGACCACTGCC